CCATTTCTGCTAAAGCCGGGGGCAGAAAACAGGCTGCTGCATCGCGCGCACAGCCGGGCGCTGGCTTTTATCTCGGCTTGCAGCGAGGGTGGCGAGGAGCTATCTGGCGTGGGCGGCCGTGGGCTGCCCGGGGGTGATAGAGGGGGAGCTGGGCATGGCCAGGGCGGTGGGGTCCAACCAGCCCCTCTTGGGCCGATAGCCGGGTTCGTGCTGCGCTGCTGGGGCCGGGGATGCTGCAGCAGCCCCAGCAGCACCAGGCAAGGCAGAGCCCTGCTCTGGGAGCAGCGGAGCTGCAATGGCCCAGTGTGGTCCAGCAGCCAGGTGTGCTCAGAGCTGTGATGGAGGCTCATCACGCAGCTGGCCACAGCTGGAAAACCCTGTCTGGGTCCCTCAGCCCCTGCCCTGTTACTCCTCCCCTCTGCACCCCAGGGAAGCGTTGCACCGACCATGTCCCCGGCTCGAGCTGTCCCACTGGGGTGTCCCCTCCAGCCCAGAGCTCCCCTGGGCTCGTTTTGCAGCCCAGGGCAGAGGTTCTGGTAGGAAGACACAGGCTGGACCCTCTTAACAGGAGCCCTTGTCTCTTGTGCTGAGCAGATGAAAACCCCAGCGAGGGTGAGGGATGGGGCAAATCATCAACTTGGCTATAGGCAGGAAAAACACTGACTTGCATGAGACTGTCTTGGAGACAGGTTGTCATGAATAAAAAAGCTTCTTTTGCCTGTTTCTGGACTGCTTTCCCCCGAGCTCTTGTGTTGAGGGATAACTCAGAAGCTGTTTAATTAAATCTTTCGCTTTTCCTTGAATATCCTGGCTCTTACGCCTGACCTCGTGCTTCTTGTCTCTCCACCTCACTCAGCTCTGAACCCCCCATGGGCTACGGCACCGGGCTGGCTTTAGGGCTGAGTATGTCCTTGTGAATCCCTGCACAGGGATATAGGGACAGGGGTGCACCAGCAGGGTCAGGTCACATTCCCTGCCGTGCCCTGCAGGTCCCCTGAGCACTTCGGTTGCAACCAGCCCCCAGTCTCCAGACAGTGTCACCTGAGACACAAATGTCAGACCTGGGAGACATCTTACAAAATTAAAGCAATACAGCAAAAGCTCCCAAGTCAATTAAAACACGAGGCCCAGGCTTGCATGATCAGTAAGTTGTTACGCGGCGTGAAATTCAGGCCAGAGCAGTCAGAGCAGGGGGTGCTCTGCACCTCTTGGAGCCAGACTTAAAGGGTACAAAGGGTTAAACCTGGACCCTGAACAGAGGTCTGCCTTAGGGGCAGAGAGGCTTCATTGAACCTTCGGTTCTATTTTCCCTCAGTTTATTGTTAGGGGCAGGAACAATTCCAAAGCCTTTGTGTTGGAATCAGAGTGCCCCAGGGATGAGCCACAGCTCCATCAGATAACCCCCCTGCCTGCTTGCTGTCAAGCCCCGCTCCCAGTCTCCACCCTGGTGCCCATACCTCTTCTGGTTGTGGTTTTCCCTATTCTCCCTTTCCCTCCTACGGAAAAAAAACCTGGCATTTTCAGAAATTCTCCTCGGCTTTCATGTTCAGGCCAGGTGATTCAGACCAGGCTGCTGCTGCTCCACATTTCCCCCAAACTCGCCACTGACCACATCCTGAACGGGTTTGCCGCAGCCGCGCTGCCACGTTCCTTATGGTCTGTGAGCACAGAGTAGGGCTTTGCTCTGATCCCGAATTTGGGGTTCACCTGGACAGTGGCCTGAAGCCCCCCTTTGCCCCAAGCACTGTTTTCAGGAGCAACCCTTTGCAGGGAACCTGCACCAGCAGGGTGGCCGTGGGAAATCAGCTCCAGCCTTCGAGTTGGATCAAAGCACTGGAGCTGGGCTGGACACAGCCAAAAGGACCAGTGCGGTGGGACAGCCTGAAGCTCATACATGAATTTACAGCCCAGCATGGCTGTAAAAGGTCATTGCTATTATGGACTCTCCACATCCAGAGGCGTACAAGTCTCCAATATGACCCTAACCCGATTAGCTGGCTGATTCACCTCCTATTATTCCTTTTTGATGAGCGCCGGTCCTACGGGATTTAAAGAGTTTACAGAATTGCTGTGGGTAAGCACAAGCCATTTGAAGGAATCAATACAGAGAAGCAGCAGCAAATGAGCTTGTCTCCACGAAACAGCTGGAACGACTTCAGCCTCTCTTCTTCCTCTTCCCTCTGCCTTCCTTCTTCCCCTTCCCCTTCCCCTTCCCCTTCCCCTTCCCCTTCCCCTTGGCTCTTTGCGACCACTGTTAACCATTCCGTGAAGAAGTGATCCTGCTCCCACCACTGCACCAGCAAAACCAGACCCTGAATAGGTCCAGGTCTCTCAGATCCTTTAGGTCCTGGACCTAAATAGACCCTGAATGGGACCAGGACCTGAGGTTTCTCACTACAAGCCACGTCTCTGCCTGCTTTTCTACAGAGTCCTGAAAAACAGCGTTTATTAACCACAAATTCTTGATAATACAGTTAATGCTCTGCTCCAAGCCTCTGCGTTTGGTGTCGTCCTGCTTGTCCCAGCTTCCCACTCCTCTGGCTCTCCACCACCCCTCCCTGAGCTTTTTCATGCTGCTGATTCAAACGTAGAAGAAAAACATCATTTTCTTTCCTTTTTCAAAGTTCGGCTTTGCAGAGCTGACAACAGAGACTGCTCACAGCCGAGGCGGATGCGTGGCTAATCACAGACCCAGATGTAGCTTGGATTTCATTTTCGCTCTGTTTCTGCCAGGAAATGCAGACAATGGGGAGAGAAGGAATAAATGAAAAGGCCATGAAAAGGCCGTGCAAGGTCATTTGTTGTCTTCCCCCAGCTGTGCGAACAGCTGTTTGGGTCAGCTCTGCGCTCAGTCCTACGGGCTGTCAGGCTCACACCATGGGAACATCTAGCCACGAATTTAGGGTCGCGCGTGTTTGATTTCACCCTTTGAGCCCTCTCTTATTGAAAATCGACAACTCCTGAAGTCTTCAGATCTCCTGAAGAACCAGGGGGGTGTGACCATGTGTCTGCTCTTTAGGTGAGGAGCTAAAGCGAGCGCCGGGCACCTGCACGATACGTTTATCTGCTCCGAGCAGCCTCTGCCCCGCGCCGTGTTATCAGACCGCGCCGGTGGCTCGGTTGCTGCCGAAAGGGGCCTGTGGGCCTCAGCTAGGATTCGGAAATTTAAAAAAATGGATAATGTCCCCTGGAACCCTGTGGCAGGGAGCTGAAATGTGACTACAGTCACCCAACCGGGCCACCCCTAATCACCCCAACCGGACCACAGCAATGGACTTGTGCCACCACCCAGCCTGGCTCCGATGGGATGGACCGACCAGTATCGATCTGTAGCTGGAATGGGTCAGAGGGCTGGATGAAACTTCTTAGGTTACCTCCAGACAGACCCAAAGTCCACGGTATTGTCAGGATGCCCTACACCTCCTGCATCCTGCCTTCGCCTTCCTGAGCGTGGGAGCACGGCTTCACCCGAAGGTGGAAAACCAGGAAAAGACCTGTGTAGTTCCGTGGGAAAGTGACACCCAGAGTCACACAAAAACCTTTGGTCAGACCCTGGGCTGGTGGAAATGGATGTCACTGGTCTGATTGTAGCGTGGTGGGTCCTGTATCCTTACGCAAGGCATTTAATTTCCGGGCAGGGAGCGGAGGGTGAAGTGCCTTGTTCACACCGTACATGCATTAAAAGAGCAGATCCTGGCTCCAGCAACCCACACAGGTGTTCCTCAAAACCTGGGGCACGGAGAGGTTCTCTTTGGCACGTGTCCACGCATCCTCAGATCTCCAGCACCTGGTTCAGGTGTGGAGGAACTGTCTGACAGGCTGATATTCTCCACACCTTCGCCTGGCAAAAGGTGCCTGCTTAGGAGAACGGCCAAGGGCTGCTCTGTAGGTCGGTGTGCCCAGAGCTGCAGAGCTGTGGCCAAGGGTGACAGCACTCGGCCTCCCCAAGAGCAGGCTGCCATGCAGAAGGATCCATGAAGTGCCTAACCAGGTCATCAATCCCATCAGAGAAACCTCCCAAAAGTTTAGAGAGCCTGCAAGTCTTACAGAAGACCCAAAGGTTGGGTGCTGCTGGCACGAGGCCGATGTAAAGCACCTTGGGCATGGGTCAGTGCCTGCCGCCCGCTGCAGGGCATGGGACAGTGTGGGAAGGAATGGAGATAAGAGGGTATTGTGTCCTGAGCCTGTCAGTTAAGCAAGTCACAGGGCTTTTTTCTTGAAGACCACACCTCGTTGCAGACTGACCGCTCCATGGACAGACCGACCCACCGCTGGTATGGACCCCCACCCCGGCCCCAGCCAATGACCCCGCAGCGCAGGACGGGGAGGAGCTGCCGGCAGTGGATAAACGACGCCCGGGGGGCTGGGATCTGTGTCCTCCTACAGCTCCGAGCAAAGCCGCCTGCCACCATGGTGCACTGGACAGCCGAAGAGAAGCAGCTCATCACCAGCGTCTGGAGCAAGGTCAACGTGGAGGAATGCGGTGCCGAGGCCCTGGCCAGGTAGGTCCAGCTCCCAGTTACACCCTGGACAGAAAAGCCACTGCAATCATGGGAGCATTAACGTGTCTGTGTGCCTGCTTGTGTCCTTCTGTCTCTCCCCAGGCTGCTGATCGTCTACCCCTGGACCCAGAGGTTCTTTGCTAACTTTGGGAACCTCTCCAGCCCCACCGCCATCATCGGCAACCCCAAGGTCCGTGCCCACGGCAAGAAAGTGCTCACCTCCTTCGGGGAAGCCGTCAAGAACCTGGAAAACCTCAAGGCAACCTACTCCAAGCTGTCTGAGCTGCACTGTGAGAAGCTGCATGTGGACCCCGAGAACTTCAGGGTGAGCTGTGCTTGGGGCTCTTGGGGCTTGATCCTCTCTCCCTTCATCCTGCAGAATAGCTCAGTGCCTGGAGGGTTTCCAACAAGCATAAATAGCACATATTTTAGTTACCAAACAGAAAGGGGCTGGCTTGGATGGAAATTGGGGGAGAGGGGAAGGTTGGGCATTTGATAATGCCAGGGAAATTCCACATTCCAGGCTGTGAGGGGTTTGGGACAAATACAGGGAGATGCTTTGAAAGCCTGGAGGCTCACGCAGGCATGGCTTGAGAAAAGCAGGAGAAGGATGCAGGGAAGCATGGGGGGCTGAGGGTGGAGAGCATGGAGGGATGTGCCCGAAGGTGCCATGCGCAGCCTCTCCATGGCACCTCCTGGCCCCGAGGATGGGGACCACTTTGTCTCCCCTTTTTCCAAGGCTGGCAGAGGTGGGAGGAGAGGGAAAAGCAAGTATGGGATGGGCAGGGGCTGGATGCTGGTGGGAAGAGATGCAGACTGGGATTAGAGAGGAGAGGTCTGAGCGTGGGGACAAGGTCAGTGGGTGAGGGAGAGGAGGAGGGGAATGAAGCAAAGGAGATCAGGGTGCATGGGGGGAGAAGTGGGTGAAGTGAGGGATTGAGGGGGCTGGATATGGCTGATGGCCTCTGTTTCAGACTCTCTTTAAGCCTGGCTTGGGGGATGTAGTGGGTAGACCTCACGCTGGCCCTAACCCTTTGCTCAAGCAGGCATGGGGTTTCACAGCAGAAAGAGAAGAAAAAGAAAAAAAGACAAAAAATGTCTGGAAATAAAGTATAGAGGCTGGAAAAAACAGATGTGAGAAGGAGCAGAGACAGAGCAGGTGGATACTGGTGCACGTGGCCAGCACAGGACTGTTCTCCTGCAGAGAGAACTCAGCTAGAAGAGCTTCCCTGGGTCGCAGCCCCAGGACCCAGCGGAGCAGCTGGGTCTCCCCCAGCCCCTGGTCTCTGGGTCCTGCACAGGGCAGAGGGTGCTCAGCGCCACGCTAACCTGATTTCCTTCCTTCCTCTCTCCAGCTCCTGGGTGACATCCTCATCATCGTGCTGGCCGCGCACTTCACCAAGGACTTCACCCCTGCCACCCAGGCCACTTGGCAGAAGCTGGTCGGCGTGGTGGCCCATGCTCTGGCCTACAAGTACCATTAAACCCTCCGAAGGCAGACGTGTCTATAACAGTCAATAAAAAAATTCACATTTCCTGAACTTAGTGTGCTCCTGTGTCCCTGCGGCTGCCTGTGGGGCGGGAAGGAGGGAGCAGGGGGCAAGAAGGGGGGAAGATGGGCTCAGGGGGGCTGGAAGCATGGTGGTCCAGAAAGGCAGTCAGGCTGCCAAAGGGGGGGTTGCTTTTCCTGGCTATTTGGGCTCTCTCTAAAGCCATCAGCCTGCTCGCTGCTGCTCTTTCCTGCCTGGTCCCGGACCCCCACGCACGACGTGATGCTGGGGTGTCCCTCGTGTATGGAGTTCCAGTGAGACATCTGGGGATACTGGCCTCTAAACTAGCGATGGGCACATCCCAGCCCACCCAGTACCTCCGAGTTTGCCAAAAGCACTGGGGGGCAGGGGGGGATTTCTGACCTATTCTGCACAGAAAGCCAAGCTGCAGGGCAAGCAAGGGCCCCTCCGGCTCTAGACCTCTCAACCTGTGATGCGTGCAAGGATATAAATTTGTAGAGATCCACCAAAGCCAGCTTAGATTAGACATTTGAAGGCCATTACAAATTTGAAAGGGCCATTAGAAATTTGGCCCTTTCTATTTTAGTACTGATGTACTTTCAAGAAGTTGATCAAAAGCATTTTCTGAATCATAGAATCATGGAACGGTTTGGGATGGAAGGGACCTTAAAGATCATTCAGTTCCAACCCCCCTGCCATGGGCAGGGACACCTTCCACTACATCAGGTTGCTCAAAGTCTTCTTGACCCCTTCGGGGGAGGGGGCAGCCACAGCTTCTCTGTGCCAGTGCCTCACCACCCTCAGAGTGAAAAATTTCTTCCTTATACGTAATCTAAATCTCCCCTCTTTCAGTTCAAAGCCATCGCCCTGTGTCCTGTCACTTCACACCCTTGTCCAAAGCCCCTCTCCAGCTTTCCTGTAGCCCCTTTAGGCACTGGGAGGTGCTGGAAGGTCTCCCTGGAGCCTTCTCTTCTCCAGGCTGAACAGCCCCAACTCTCCCAGCCTGTCTCCAGAGCAGAGGTGCTCCAGCCCTCGCATCATCTCCGTGACCTCCTCTGGATCTGCTCCAGCAGCTCCATGTCCTTCTTGTGTTGGGGACCCCAGAGCTGAAGGCAGCACTGCAGGGGGGTCTCACAGAGCAGAGCAGAGGGGCAGAATCCCCTCCCTCGCCCTGCTGCCCACGCTGCTCTGGGTGCAGCCCAGGACACGGTTGGCTTTCTGGGCTGCCAGTGCACGGTGCCAGCTCATGGTGAGCTTCTCATCCACCAACACCCCCAAGTCCTTCTCCTCAGGGCTGCTCTCCATCCATTCTCTGCCCAGCCTGTACTTGTGCTTGGGATTGCCCCAACCCATGTGCAGGACCTTGCACTTGGCCTTGTTGAACTCCATGAGTTTCTCACAGGCCCATCTCTCCAGCCTGTCCAGATCCCTCTGGATGGCATCCCTTCCTTCCAACGTGTCCACCACACCACACAGTTGGTCTCATGTGCAAACTTGCTGAGAGTGCACTAAATCCCACTGTCCGTGTCGCCGACAGAAATGTTAAACAGCACCAGCCCCAGTACTGACCCCTGAGGAACACCATTCATCACTTGGACATTGAGCCGTTGACCACAACTCTTTGAGTGCGACCATCCAGCCAATTCCTTATCCACCGAGTGGTCCATCCGTCAAATTCATGTCTCTCTAATTTATAGACAAGGATGCTGGCACAGAGTGGGATGAGCCCGGACAGGGCTGTTCAGCTGGAGAGGAAGATCACAGCAAATAAAGTGGGAACAAAGATACTCTCAAGACCTACCCGTTTAAGACAGAAGAAATTGCACGTTTTGGAGGAGAGAGAAGAGGCTGGCTTGGATCCAGAGCGGCAGAGGCTGAAAAAAACCTGCTGATAAGGGCAATGGTAAAGCTTGGCGTGGGACACTGCCTGCTGCAATCAGAGTGACCAATAAATTCTGCTTGTTTCAGAAGGGCCCTCACTGTAGCTGCCTTTTGCCACCAATGGGATGGTTTATCTACAAAAAGGGAAGATTCTCGTTCATGGAAGTGGACATGGCCCACTATGGGGCTAAAAGACGAAGAATGACTTAGGAGGATCTTCCGCCGACACCAAAGGGAATGGTTGGCTGGAAAGATGCTTGAGTCCTGAGCACCGTGAAATCCATCACAGGATGTGATGCTTCCCCTGCAGAAGTCCCATGTGGAGCATGGGGCTGGGGCTCTGGGCTGTCGTGCCTTTGATTTTGGCCGCGTGTCTCTTCGCCGTCTCGCGGCGTACACGCTGCTCACAGCCACTGAGCACCGTGAAATCCATCACAGGATGTGATGCTTCCCCTGCAGAAGTCCCATGTGGAGCATGGGGCTGGGGCTCTGGGCTGTCGTGCCTTTGATTTTGGCCGCGTGTCTCTTCGCCGTCTCGCGGCGTACACGCTGCTCACAGCCAATGCTCGCCGTGTCCCGGCCGAGGCCACCCTGCCGTCCTCGCAGGCACCCCTGGGGCTGTGTCTGCTTGACCGTGAGCTCTGACGCCGTTATGGACCTCTGCCCGACTGTTTTAAACAGCCTCTGGGCTGCCCAGCAGAGCAGGTTTCCTTAAAACCTGTGGCTGACTAATCTCAAAGCCAAAAAGCCCTTGGAAGTCTTTCCCAGGGAGTTTAGTCTCACGCTTTTTCCCTTCTGTCAGCGGATAACCGCCCCGTGGCACTAATGCAATTGCTGGAGATGATGTGAGAAGCACTTTGAAGGAAACGCTTGGAAGGACGACGTGATGTTCTGCAGCAGGGACACCACCAGCTCGGGAGATGCTGCTGCCCACAGCAGCGAGCGAGGGGATGTGTAGGCTGGGGGGGACAGGGATGAAGGAGAAGGAAGGAAAGATAAAGTGAAGCTCATCAAGCCCCCAAAATTGTTCATCCTTTGCTTCTTCTCTTGATTTAGCATCTCACCTCACACCTGGGATGGGCATTTGAAACTGCCCTCGTGGGATGGTGCATCCAAGCTGCTCTGGTGCTGCAGGACTGATGCCACCACTTCACCAGTCCACTCTGCTAATGCAGAATCTGGAAGCTGTGTCCACAGAGCATCTCACTGGCGTCACAGCCTCCTCATTTCTCATGTCTGTATTAACTGAGAAGGCACGTGCACGAACCCGCTTGCACACACAGCAGAACTAGGGCAGCAATTAGAGAACTTAGTTGAAGGTCACCAGTGGCAGCTGAAGTCCCCGGGCAGAGCTCAGTACCCGACTGTGTTGCCGGCTTCTTGTATGACTTTAAGTGCATCAATGCATCCTACCGCGCACCAGGACCCTGTTTGCAAAATGATACTGGTCAGAATACTTTTATTCTTTGACAGCCCCCCCTGTTAGTAGGAAACACGTTGGATTAGATGCTCTGTCAGGTAGGAGTGTGGAAAAAAGCCACAACTTCTGAAGACATAGTAACTGCAGGGAGTGATGGTGTGGACCAGAGGTAAGGCTAGAAGAATTCATTGGCAGTTTTATTTGGAGCTGGCAGGTAAGAGACGAGATGGTGCTCTTCAGGTTTGTAAAGACAAGAGGCAGACGAGAGGATGGACTTCATCTCGGGTGCAGCAAGGGACGGTCCCTGCAGTGCTGCTTCTTGGGGCTGAATGATTTTCTGCGAACAAGCAATCCGATCGAGACAGCTCTACCAACAGTAGCAACGCTGCTTTGCCAGGACAACTTATTTCTTTTTGGGGTATGAGGTATGCTGAATATCAAATGAACCCTTTTTTCCAGTGCAAACTCAAGAGTTTGTCAACGCTAGTGCCTACTACAGCCAAACCACCCCACTTTCGTCATGCAGGGGAGGTTTTAGTGCATATTTCTCCTAGCAGTCTCAAAAAAATAAGCATGGTTCTGCCTTTTATTTGATGTACACCCCATTTCTGACATGGGCAGTCTCAGAACTATGCCCCAAAGCCACCCAATTATTAGACTAATAATATATCAGCCTCATACAGTAGTGAGGAATTGAAAATGTGAAATACAGTATACGCTGTGTTGTCCTCTTCCTGGAAGGCCAGCGGACAAAATTAATATTGGACTGGTTTTGCAAGGTACAGCCTGTTCCTACACTCCTGCTGGCATCAGGTGGGATTGACTGTCCACATATGTCTGGCTTCTGACCCCCTCCTCATAGGACTAAGGCTGGGGGTAATACCAGGCTCTTGAGACCCATAACTCAGAGCCGTGCCTTCGAGATGGATCCACTTTCTCTAACGACGTGGAATTAGACTAGAGATGGGCAATAGGAGAGCTTGGACTCAGAAGAGCATGGACAACAACGATGGACAACGATGATGGACAACAACTCTGAAGCTCTTTTTTAGGACAGAGAATCATAGAATCATAGAATCATCTGGTTGGAAGCGACCTTCAAGATCATTGAGCCCAACCATTCATCCCGCACTGTCAGGGTCCCTAAACCATGTTGCTCAACACCAAATCTACACGGTTTTTAAACACCTCCAGGGATGGGGACTCCACCACCTCCCTGGGCAGCCTGTTCCAAATAAGGAACAGAAGAAAGGAGGATCTTGCATTTAAAGCACGGGGCATAGATTTGGGAGTGATCATTCGATTCTTGTCTCCCACTAAGCCTCTGATCCTTCGTGCTGGGATGGATGATGCCTAGAGCTGTTCACAGGCTCTTGCATTTAAAGCACAGGGCATAGATTTGGGAGTGATCATTCAGTTCTTGTCTCCCACTAAGCCTCTGATCCTTTGTGCTGGGATGGATGATGCCTAGAGCTGTTCAGCATGAATCCCAGGAGCACGGGGCACCAATGTGCCATTGAAAGACTGGAGAGAAGGTCAAGGCAGAGACTGCAAACTCTTTGAACATCGCTGCCTGTCTTCTTGGGTCTGCACCGTGCGTTCAGCCCCCAGCCTACGGCTGCCTCTGC